GTCACACACCTCCCACTTCTAAATGCTGTGTTCTTCACACGACATTTTACTTCAGATGGCACTTTTATAGCAACTTCATGAAAAAGCGACTCCAGTGAAATATAAAAGTCTGAGTTCCGTATCTGTGGACGCCAAAATCTCAAAGGAGACCCACCAAGGCAGAACACACAGAATGGATGATGGAAGAGAAGTGAGCTGGAACATGCCCCAAACACCAGTGAGATACAATAAAAATAATAACAGCGATAATGATAATCAACACAATTTATAGCTAAAACCTTTTACTAGAGTTAAAGCTCTTTTCACATAGATGCATCAGGCTGACACAAAGACTGCCATTTTAGAGGTCAAGACATGGAGGCTCAGAGAAGTTCAAGTCTTATCCACATCACAGTTATCCAATGGGAAGGCTAAAGTGTGTTCAAATAACTCCCACTTCTAAACGCTGTGTTCTTCACACAACATTTTAATTCAGACCATAGAATAATATCTAGGCCTCTCTTCTAAATTTCTGGATATGTTAGAATTATTTTTAAATTTTTTTTTAATGATTTGAGAGAGTGGGAGGAGAGAGATCCAGAGATAAGAAACATTGATGAGACAGAAACATAGAACAGCTGCCTCCTGCACTCCCCCTATTGGAAATCAAGCCAGCAACCCAAACTGTACTCTTGCCGGGAATCAAATCAGAGAGCACTTTGTTCATAGGTCAACACTCAACCACTGAGCCACACAACCAGGCAGGTAATTTTATGTGTTGAAATAAAAAAAACCCGAGGTGCTCAAGAAAACTAATTTATCATCTCTATTGCCATGTAATGAATGTGTTGGAGGATGGGGATAAAGTTGGTATATAAAAAAGCATCCAGGAAAGTAGCAAAATAAGAAACTTGGCTATGGGGTCCTTTGAAGCTATTTTAAAAAATGAAATGTTATGTTAAGAGCTATGTGGTGTATCCCTCTGTGTGCATAATTATTACTCCATTGATTTATTGCTCACATGTCAGAGCATCTGGGCATTTATGCAAGTTAAAACAACCAACCCAGGAGCCAAGCCACACAGCCTCAAACCCAGACAACTTGCCTCCCCCCCCTTGTCCCGCTCTTCGTCCTGACGGTAAGAATCTTCCTGGCAGAGAGGAACTGTTAAACCAGTGGCATCTGTTGTGTACACCATATCCTAAAAGAGTAGCTAAAATCATTTGGGAGCACAAATTTTCCAGAGAAACCAGAAAGTTTCTTCTAATTCTAGAAAGAACCCTCTCCTGTTTTGACAAAAGCTCTTAAGGAGTGACTCAGGAATCAAAGGGGAAGGAGCTATCACATGTAACCTCCTGCGAGGATGAGCCCTGATCTGTCATATGGGCAGAATGAGACACAACATATCTACTGAATACTCATCCGCTAAGGTAGGGAGACTCTTTAGAGGTGGGGAAATCGCTTTAATATATTTCACCCTGTTGCCAAAAAATCCTTTGCCTGTGACCCAACAATTAGAGCAAATTTTAACTGAAACTGCTTCCCGTAAGAGATGGACATCACTGGGTAACTGTCTCCATTTTTATTTACAGAGATCTTAAAAGAAGGAAAAAGGCAAAAAAAGAAAATTCCTCTGATGTCTCCAGCTGATAAAATCGTTAATCACACACTCTGAACTTCAAAGCAGAAGACGAGAAAATCACCTCACTTTCTCTGGACATGGAGAATAATTTTTCTACTTCAAAGGACCGTCTTTTTTATTGGGTCGTTTTAATTATTGAACGTGGGATGGAAGCTATCCGCATAATGTCACCACTGTCTTTTTCATGAAATATACATAGGTCTAACGTGACTACATTCATTCAAGAGGGAAAACACCCAGGAGAGGATAAGAAAAGGGATATGGGCTGAGGATACAACTCTCCTCAGTGCAGGGGAGCAGGAGAAAGGAAGTAAGCCTTTCGGGGCTGACTTTTCTCATTCCTCCCTCTTGGAGAGAAACCACAAGTAGAGGACTGTCTATTTCGGCAATTCCTCAACAGACTGCCTTGCTTCTCAATTCTCCTCCTATCCAACATATGACAACACAATCACACTACCTTTATTAGTAACTAGAGGCCGGGTGTAGGAATTCATGCACGAATCAGGGGTCCTTCCACCTGGCTGGTAATCAGGGCCAATCAGGGCAGATCAGGGCTGGCCAGCCAGGGAGAGGGACCATGGGAGATTGGCTGCCTCAGGAAGTTGGCTGTGGGAGTGCTCTGACCACCAGGGGGCATTGAGCATCTGTCCCCAGTTGGTCAGTGTGCATCATAGCAATGGATGAGCCTGTTGTAACCATTGTTACCTTTTATACATATTAGTATGGATGCTGGTGTTATTGCCAACTTCAGACAACTGTGGATACGATCAGTTGATTTATGAATAACGAGTGTGAAGAATAACGAGGGTCACAAACTATCTGGCCCCGTTCAGAATAAGACTGTTAAAGAGAGGTCAAATCAGGCATTCCAATCCCCACTCAGCCCTTTTCCCACAAAATCACAAAGCCAAGAATTGGCAAATTTCTTCTGTAAAGGGCCAAAGAGTAAATATTTTTAGCTTCGCGGACTATACAATCTCTGCAGCTACTCAATTCTGCGGTTATAGCCAAGCACAACACATAGATAATACTAAATAAGTATGGCTGTGTCCTAGCAAAACATTACTTCCAAAAATAGGCTGAGGGTGGGATTTGTCCACAAGCCATAGTTTTTAACTCTTATTCTAGACATGTGCTAGATACGAGAAGCATTCTAGCACTGTGCTAGCCAATACAGCACTCATTAGCCATAGCTGACCATTAAATACTTGAAATGTGACTAATGTAACTAAGGAACTACATTTTAAATTTTACAGAATTTAATATTTTTTTAGTTTTTATTAAATTTACTAGAGGCCTGTGGCATGATATTCGTGCAAGAATAGGCCTTCCTTCCCCTGCTTTCACTCCTGGTCACCCAGGAGCCTGCAAGTCCCTGCTCCTGGCTGCCCGAAAGCATGCAAATTCTTGCTCTGGGCAGATCACGGCTCCTGTAGCTCCCTCTGCCACCTTCCTACCCCTCATGTCAGGTGTTCTGCCCCTTCCTGCTGTTCCACACCTGCATATGCAAATTAACCTGCCATCTTTGTTGGTTTAATTTGCATACTCACTCCTGATTGGCTGTGTGCATAATGGAGGTCCGGTCAATTTACACGTCTGTCTATTATTAGGTAAGATGGGGTGATATTTGTTTAATAGGATCATATAGGTTTCAAGAATATATAGGTTTCTATGATACATGATCTGTGTATATATAGCATTTTGTAGCCACCACCCAAAGTCAAATCATCTTCTGTCAACCATGCATTTGGCCCCTTTACCCAGGAACTGCATTTTAAATGTTACTAACTTTTGCCAAAACCTGTTTGGCTCAGTGGATAGAGCATTGGCTTGGGGACTGAAGGGTCCCGGGTCCCTGAAGGGTCAGGAGCATGTACCTTGGTTGCAGGCACATCCTCAGTGGGGGGGGGTGCAAGAGGTGGCTGATCGATGACTCTCTCTCATCGATGTTTCTAACTCTCTCTCTTCCTTCTTCTATGTACAAAATCAATAAAATATATTTAAATGTTACTAACTTTTAATCATTGAAATTTTAATAGACATAAGGTGGCTAGTGGCTCCAGTATTCGATAGCACAGTAGTAGATGCTCCTCACTGCTCCTCTTCAAAGCAGATTTAAGCCACCTTCCAATCAATGTGCATAGTTTAAAATGTTTCCTTAAAAAAAGAAAATATCCATGCTTCCACATTCAGAATGAAACCACATAAACTGAAAATTGTATTTCTTAAGTGTGGAATAACTACATCATTGAAGCTAAAATAACTGTTTGGTGTGAATCAATCAAACAAAAGCAATTTAGCCAATGTGAAGAGCATAGGGGCTAAGTTGGGTTCATGCCAGGACTTATCCAATCCGTACCTGTTTCCCGTCTCCTCTGAACAGTGGCCTGCACCTCCACTGAGGGCACAGACCTACTGAGTGGCCCACGAACGCCTAAGGCAAGTCCAAATCTCCCCACAGACCCAAAGACGTCTACACTCAAAGACATGGGCTACTGAGCACAAGAGGGAACCCGCATCTCCGTTAGGCTGCCTTCTCCCAAAGTGATCACATCATATGTTGCCTCTACACGGAAATCGGGCACTCACCATATCCTTCACACCTACACACAAATAATTTATTTTCTGCCAACTCTTTATTTACATAATAAGTTGCTTGTGTCCTGCATTCCTAAGCCATCCCCAGAATATATTCCAATGGGGAGAAGCAAGGAAATAGAATAGTAACATGTTTGTTTGTTTGTTTGTTTGTTTTCTCTAGGTGTGAAGAAGAAATAACAAACCCACTGTTCCTTTAGGAAACTTGTATAATACCAACTTTCTTCAACGGGTAAAAGAATATTGAAAATTAAGGGGACTCTCTAGAAAGTCAGAAACCTTTGGAATCATAGGTGCCAGGAGGATGAACTATATAAATACACAACAAAGGAAAGTAAATGACACTCTGACTTTTTTTTAAATGACTTCTGATAAGATAAAAACCATTCCAGATCCAATCTTTTATTTTATCTGTGGTTCCCAAATCTGAAAAGCTCTGAAAAAAATTCCAAGTATGAAGCAAACTCCCTTTACTGGCACAACCTGAAGCAAACTGACAGAGGGTTTGTTTATCCATTTAGGGTGAGAATTTCTTTTTCTGCAGAAATATAAATTTCTTTTTCTGTTTGTATAGCACTCCCAGCAACCTCACTGGGAGTGATACACAGTCTATGATACATGCAGTAGGTCTTACTTTCCAAAACCCACCCAAATATCCGACATCCAAAACACCCTTTGCCCCAAGGGTTTGGATAAGGAACCTTCTAAAGAAAGCTGTTCAGGTAGAACATTTTCTATCAACTCAGCATCTGCTGCCCAGAATCCTGAGCCACTGCCTTACCTCGGTTTGAAGAATGGCAGCCCGCTGTTCTTTGGCAGTAAGCGACTCTTTAAGCACTTCAATGTGTTGCTTGCAATCTGAATTTTGATTGCTAAGGGTTTCAAGCTTTGTTTGTAAGGCAAGAAGTTCTGATTCCTTCTTTGAAAGTTCCTGCTTCAGCTGATCAATCTGTAAAACAACAAAATTGCAAGAAATTAGAAGCCACAGATAATACCCTCTATTTGAAAACTACTAGTTCCTCTTATAGTCCTTTCGTGTGTGTGTGTGTGTGTGTGTGTGTGTGTGTGTGTGTGTGTGTGTGTGTTCTTTCAATGACTTATTTCTTTTTCTTTTTCATAGTCGGTGATTATTATTCCAACAATGCAGGTTTAATGAAAAAGATGGTCCTGGAAGTCACACAGTCTTGGGTTCTGGAGAGGCTCTGCAGATGTGGCGGCGAGTGCAGAAAGCCGGAAAGGTAAGGTCAGCAGAGAGTCTTCTACCTTCCACCCCACTGATAACTAAGGTTCACAGTGGAAAGAAGGCTTCCTGGCCAAACCTACTGTTCATCCACAAAACCGAAGATAACTCACCAAGACCCTCAGAAGGGTAAACAGGGAGCTAATAAAGGTACTTAACCTAAGACATAACCTGGACTTCTCTACAATGGTGGAAACAATCATCATTCAAGGGCATTATTTGACAAAAGAGAATTCTCCCCCCCCCCAAAAAAAAAATAAGTATTTTTGCTTATATTAAATACTGAGAAAATACCAAAAAAATAAAATATGTACAAATTATAAGAGAAAATAACACAAATAATATCCATCATTCAATTCACCAAAAAAGATTATTAGATCTTTTATATTATTATATCTGGTATCCAACCCATTTCAATCTCCTTCTTTCCCCCTTCAGAAATAATTCCCACTCTAAATTTTATGCTGATCATTTTCTTGCTTGTCTTTTCAGTTTACCATGAATTTTTTTTTTCATCTGTAAATGATATACCATTTAGTGTTGGATACTATTTAGGTTTTTAACTTTGTTTGCAGTGTATGTTTTGTGGGATTTTTTTTTTATGTGTTAGGCTTTTTTCTACTCAATCTTATGTCCTGGAGATTTAATCGTGTACTGTACAAGCAATTTGTTTGTTTTCACTGAAGAACAGTATTCCAGTGTAAATCTTTACCGCAGTTTATTTGTCCATTCTGCTGCTGATAGAAATTTGGATTTGTTTCCAGGTGTTGTTTGTTTGTTTCCTATTAAAGTGCTATTCGGGCCTGGCCAATGTGGCTCAGTGGTTGAGTGTCAACCTATGAACCAAGAGACCACAGTTTCATTCTATGTCTGGGGAACTGTCCAGGTTTCAGGCTTGAACCCCAGTGGGGGAACTGCAAGAGGCAGCCAATCAGTGATTCTCTCTCATCATTGATGTATTGATGTTTCTCTCTCCCCATCTCCCTTCCTCTCTGAAATCAATATATATATATATTTTAAAGTGTTATTCTAAACATTCTTCTACATATCATCTGGTACATACTGGTATAGTAAAAATAATCTAAAAGTTCATTGCTGGACCACATCGTATACACACCTTCAACTTCACTAGACAAACAACTGTTTTCCAAAGCAGTTACATTGATATTCATGGTCACAGGCACGGTGTGCTCATCACTCCACAGCTTTGCCAATCTTATGTCACCAGCGTCCTACATTTCTGCCTGCTGAAGGAATGGCAACTTTGGCCTCTCCTGCTGGCAGCCAGCCACCATGCTAGAAGTCAGCTATCCTACAGCCGCTGTGCTCCGAGGAAGCCATACCAAACACACAGCAGGCAAAGATAGGCAGAGAAGCTGGTGGAAATGATCATTCCTTTTGTCTTGTTCCTGATCATAAAGGGAATTTCAATGTTTCACCATGAACGTTCGTTCATGTTTGTTTTAGCTTTTTATAGATGCTCTTAGGTTTCAGAAAGTTCCATTTTATTACAAGTTTGGAAAGAGTTTTGTTTTGTTTTTTAATCCTCACCCAAGGGTATGTTTACTGATTTGAGAGAGAGGAAGGAAGGGAGATGGATGAGTAGTTTCAATCTTCCATATTTTGATTTTGGAATCTGCCTCATCTGTAAATCACTTAAAGTGGGTTAAAAACACCTACTCAATGGTGAAATAATAAATTCTTCCTTATAGTTCTACCAATGTTTAGCTCTAAAAAATGGTTTCTTTGTCTTAATGTCTACAAATTCATTCCTTTAAAGGTTATGAAATCTTTCATTAGCTGCATTTTTATAGCTTTATTGAAATGTAATTTATATACCATAAAATTCACCTCACTAAAGTGTACTATTGATGGTTTTTAGTATTTTCACATCATCATCTTGATTGTACACATGAACCATCTCAAAATAAAACCTTTCCTCAACTCAAAATGAAAGCTTACAACCATTAGCTGTCCTCCATTCCCCACCCTCGACCCCCAGCTGCAGGCAAACAATAATCTACTTTTTGTCCCTATAGGTTGGCCTATTCTGGGAATTTTATATAAATGGAATCACATAATGTATATACTTTGTGACTGGCTTCTTTCATGTAGCGCAGTGTTTCAAGATTCATCCTTCTATTGCTGAGTAATATTCCCGAGCATGAATACAGCACATTTTGTCTATCAACTCACCAGTTGAGGGGCACTCTTGTTGCATCTATATTTTGGCTATTATGAATAATGCTACTACGAATACTCATGCACCAGCCTGTGTGGACATGTTTTCATTTCTCTTGGGTATATACATAGGTATAGAATTGCTAGGCCATGAGGCAACGGTATGTTTAGCATTTTGAGAAAATCCTAAATCATTTGCCAAACTGACTGTAGCATTTCACATTCCCACCAGCAATATATGCTCTAAATTTTTCATACTCTCACCAGAATTTGTTATTGTCTGCCTTTTTCGTTATAGTCATTATGACGGGTAGAAAGTGGTATCTCATATGGTTTTCACTTGCATTTCTCTAACTAATGACACTAAGCATATTTTCACATACTTATTAGCCATTCATATATCTCTTTTGGACAAATATTCTGCTTTCTAAAACTGTTTCTTTGCCTTTCATGGCTTTTTTTTTATACAAATAAATAGGTTTGTTCTGATTTCTCCTTTTTGGGGTACTTTGAGCCTCCTGATTGTGGATTGGTACCTGTCATCAGTTTTGGAAAAGTATCAGGTTTTATTTCTTCAAATATGAGTAGTGACCTGCTATAATACATCTTTCCTTCTGGGACTCTGATTATACTTTTAATTGACCTTCTTTATGTATCTTAATTTATCTTTCATGTATTGCATATTTATGTAATTTATTCTGCTCTATTTTCTAGTTTATTAAAGTCTCTCTTATTTTGTATTGATTCATTAAGCTTTTGAATTGATTCATCAATTTTGTATTGATTCATTAAGCTTTGAAATTTGTATTTTTATTTCCCATTTCTAGAAGTTCTCTTTAAATTTGCTTGGTATTTTAATTTATCTTTAAATACATATTTTATTGATTTCAGAGGGAAAGGGAGAGGTAGAGAGAGAGATAGAAACTTCAGTGAGAGAGAATCATTGATTAGCTGCCTTCTGAATACCTCCCACTGGGGACTGAGCCCACAACTCAGGCATGTAGACTAACTGAAAATCAAACATAACCTCTTGGTTCAAAGGTCGAGGTTCAACCATTGAGCCACACTGACAGGGCTAAATTTTCTTGAAACTTTTATAGTCTCTTGACTTTTATTTGTATTCAAATACCTTCTTTAATTTATTTAATCATACTAATCACATTTATGTCATAGCATTTGTCTTAAAAGTTCAAGTCCTAAAAAAGTTCAAGTTCCTGCTACCTGGCTCTGCTATCTGTTCTTTCTACTGACTCACTTATGGTGGCTTGCTTTCTTGCAGGTTTTCTAATTTAAAAATATATTGTGCCTTCATTTTTTTTAACTTTATCTACAGAAATACTTTGCAGCTAACTTAGCAGCAGCCTTCCAGAACAGTTACCTCTGCCAATACCTGTGGCCCTACCAACCAAGGACCCAATTTAAACCATCTCCTCTACTTGAAGATTCTGGATCACCTCACACTGCACATCTGTGCAGGAGCCAGCTGTAGGTACAGATTCTCAGAGATGTTTTTTTCATCTTCCACTTGGCTCAAAGTTTTAAATATATATATATACTTCTCCCGGGAGTCCCCAGTCTGAGTAAGAGGAGAGAAGAATTGGGAGGTTATTTCTAGTTAATCCTCACACTGAAGGGTGATGCTGTCCAGGCCCCCAGCCTTGTGTGGTAGCAGAGCCCCTATTTGATTCTTTATGTTGAGCAGGTCCAGGCTTCTACCTCTGAAATGTCCCTGTGACTGAAAACCAAAGCTCAAGTTCACCTGTCTAGCAAAAGCTAAAAAGAAGATATAACCAGTGCTCCACTGATCACTCCAGCTCCCTGCTTTGGCTTAGTTTGGGCCCTTGTGATTCCTTCTAACTTGACAGTTCACAAGTGCATTTTTATTTTATTTTCTGTTTGTTTTAAATTTATCTTTATTGTTGAAAGTATTACAGATGTCCTGCTTGTTCCCTGTGGACCCTCTCAGGGGAAATATGTCCTAAAATACATTTCACCCAGCAATTTTTCTTGTTTTCAGCAACTAAAACTGGCATAAACAAGGACCAAGTGACTGACAATAACTGCTGAGCATGAACCAGAATGAGGTGCTTACAAAGAAGTGAGACCGTCTTCAGAAGTGTTCAGGCTGCACAATTTACTAGAAAGGTTTATATGGAAGGAGATTCCATTCTCAGGGAAAAGTTAGACTGATCAAGGGGCAAATATGTTGCATCATTCTTGCTGTATCGAGAGGTTTGGTAGCGGTGGCCGAAAGGTAGTCTTGAGAATGGTTCCAGTTTGCATGAACGTTCACTGGGAAAGAATCATGACTGATTATCAACATATTCTGGCATGTGTAAGCAGGTGGTGGCACAGCTCAGGTACGTGCAACCCATGAGCTACATTATTATTGTCATAATCTAATCATGTGAGTTGATCATTTTTATCTGGAATAGAGTAGGAAATTCTCTTTTGCTCACTTTCTTACACACACACACACACACACACACACACACACACACACACACACCAAAGTGTAAGTAGAGGGG